ATTTAATATTTCAATAAGAAAATACTGATTTTAACAAAATTACTTAGGGTGTCAAAAGATGTTGCGGAAGGCGCGCAGCTCGGGCCATACAAATTGTGCCCCGCGCCTCGCGCTTCGGGTTTTCCCCGTATTAGAGCTAGTATTGTGCCATGTTGTACTAGATTTTTTTTAATAACATGATTTCTTTCGTAATAATTATAGTATTAGAAGTTCTTTGTATTCCTTACCCATGTGGATCAATGTCTAAAATATTATTTTTGAAAAGCCTTTTTTATAGATACATAATAAAGGTAAATGCGGTTAATATACTTTTCTAATTTCAGATTTCCGAAAAGCCGTGAATTGGGAAATAAATAGGTGGTAACAATAAAAAATATAACAATAATTTGAAGTATCATTAAACCTATTTTTAAGAAATTAAAAACTAGCTTTGGTAGTTATTTTTATGTAAGTACCTACGTAGTTACGTATAAATGTTTACGATTTTTATTGAACTAATGGATGTCATTAAACAATGTATAATACATTATGTATTTACATTAGAATAAAATATCTAGTACGTAAAACTGCGATTGCTTGATCAAAACTATATAGTATTATAATAAATTAACCCCTTTAAAGGGCCAGTAAATTAATTAGATTTTTGTGTATAATTAATAAACATCGTTTTATAAATTCGTACCTGTGTTTTATTGATCTGCTAAAACCTACTTTATAATTACCAACCTACCTAATATTTAGAATTCAATGAAATTAATAAGTTAAGTACAATGCCGCATAGGTGTCAATCTTAGCGCATCACTTTTCAACTGTTCTAATTATGTATCAGTATCTACTATCTATAGAACACATATGCGCGCTCTATAGCTTGCTTATGTATACTCTAAGGAAGCAACGAAATATAAATGAAGATGCCAAATATGATACCAAAATGTCAAAATTAGGTGATTAAGTTAAGTATATTAATATGTAATATGTAAATAGTAATAATATCGTAATATGAGAAGGTCACCGTGTAGTGGCGGTCAAGAATATCCACTACCCTATATCCTCCCGTGGGTGTCGTAAAAGGCGACAAAGGGAAACAGGCAGGAGATGGGCAGCAGCATCTTCCTGATAATAGCCAAATTACAATAAAAAAACTGCGGTTGCCAACCCGCTCGCCAAGCGTGGCAACTATGGCAAATACCCCCCTATGAATGACAGTAACAAAGAAACGGCCCCCAGTCCCCGGCGGCCCCGCTATTCCTGGCTACGGTGGCGACCATGGTAACGGCGGGGCAGGGGGTGCTAAGAATCTCCGGTGGAGGTTCGGTTGCCACCTTAGACGACTCGACCTGGCAACGTACAACGCACGCACCCTGAGGACTGACGAGAAGATCGTGGAGCTGGAAGAAGAGATAGACAAGTTGCGCTGGCATATTATAGGATTATCCGAAGTCCGAAGAGAGGGGGAGGACACGGTAATCCTCGAATCCGGCAACTTGCTCTATCACCGGGAGGGCGACCATCTGTCCCAAGGAGGTGTCGGATTTATCGTCCACAAGTCTCTCGTTAACAACGTTGTAAAGATCGGGAGTGTGTCGACGAGGGTTGCGTACCTTATACTCAGAATCACCAAACGGTATTCGCTGAAGGTCATACAGGTTTACGCACCAACCTCGGCACACCCCGATGAGGAGGTGGAGGAAATGTATGAGGATATCTCTAGAGCCATGCATTCTTCCAAAACCCAATATACGGTGTTAATGGGAGACTTCAATGCAAAACTAGGCACAAGAGAGAACGGTGAGCTGAAAGTAGGGAAATTTGGAATAGGGCAACGGAACCCAAGGGGCCAGCAGCTGGCCGACTTCATGGAGAAAGAGGGACTCTTTATGATGAACTCTTTCTTCCAGAAGCGGCCCCACAGGAAGTGGACCTGGTCGAGCCCCGACGGTTCCACAAAAAATGAGATTGACTTCATTATGACGACCAGACGACAACTGTTCAGTGATGTCTCCGTGATCGCGAGGGTGAAAACTGGTAGCGATCACCGAATGGTTAGAGGCACACTGAACCTAAACGTTAAGTTGGAGAGGTCTCGTCTAATGAAGTCAACGCTCCGTCCCCCTCGTGCTCTGTTCCAAAGTCCCGAAACCTTTCAGCTCGAGTTACAAAACCGTTTTCAGTGCCTGGAAGACTGCAATGAAGTGGACGATATGAATGACAAGCTCGTGGAAACTGTCCATGCGGTCGGAGCTAAGTTCTGCAAGACCCGCCGCAGAAGAACACAAAAACTCTCCGATCACACTCTTAATCTCATGGCTGTTAGACGGGAGATGAAGCTACATTCTTCAACAGACTTGACAGCATACAGGCATCTGAACAGACAGATCTCCAAATGCATGCGGCGGGACTTACGCAACTTCAATACAGCTCGTATTGAAGAAGCGATCGAGCGGAACCAAGGCTCCAAAGTCTTTGCCAGAGATCTGTCTGCCAGAAAGAACCAACTGTCAAAGCTGAAGACAGAATGTGGCAGCATCGTTTCCGGGACACCTGAGATTTTGAGTGAGATTGAGAGGTTCTATGGGTAGCTGTACACATCATCGTTGGAGCCACACGCAAGTGTGAGTAACGATCCAAGAGCGAGTCTCATCCGACACTATTCCGAAGATATCCCGGATGTCAGTCTGAGCGAGATTAGGATGGCTCTCCAGCACCTTAAAAACGGTAAGGCCCCAGGCGAGGATGGAATTACAGCGGAGCTTCTGAAAGCGGGTGGAAGACCGGTACTTGAAGTCCTTCAGAAGCTCTTTAATTCTGTCCTCCATGGTGGCATTACACCGGAGGCGTGGAGCAGAAGTGCGGTGGTCTTGTTCTTCAAGAAAGGTGACAACGCTCTCTTGAAGAACTACAGACCGATTTCCCTTCTGAGCCGCGTCTACGTGCTGTTTTCGAGAGTCATTACGAATCGTCTCGCGCGCAGACTTGACGACTTCCAGCCTCCCGAACAAGCCGGTTTCCGAAAGGGCTTTAGCACCATAGACCACATACATACCCTTCGGCAAGTTGTACAGAAGTCCGAAGAGTACAATTTGCCACTATGTCTGGCGTATGTGGACTATGAGAAAGCCTTTGATTCCGTCGAAATTTGGGCGGTGCTGCAGTCCCTTCAGCGGTGCCAAGTTGACTGTCGGTATATCGAAGTGTTGAAGTGCTTGTACAGTAGGGCTACGATGGCTATCCGAGTACAGAACCAGAATACGAAACCTATCCAATTGCAGAGAGGTGTAAGACAGGGTGACGTCATATCCCCGAAACTCTTCACCGCTGCATTGGAAGACGTTTTCAAGCTTCTGGACTGGAAAGGATACGGTATCAACATCAATGGCGAGTACATCACTCACCTTCGATTTGCCGACGATATAGTCCTTATGGCAGAATCGCTGGAGGATCTAAGCACTATGCTCAATGACCTCAATAGTGTTTCCCAACGGATAGGTCTTAAGATGAACATGGACAAAACAAAGATCATGTTTAATGTCCATGTCACACCTATGCCGGTAGTTGTTGGGAGCACTAAGCTCGAAGTTGTTGACGAGTATGTTTACCTGGGACAAATAGTCCGACTAGGTAAGTCCAACTTCGACCGAGAGGTCAATCGACGGATTCAACTCGGCTGGGCAGCGTTCGGGAAGCTACGACACATCTTCTCGTCAGACATACCTCAAAACCTTAAAACGAAATTGTACAACCAGTGCGTGTTGCCAGTGATGACTTACGGAACTGAGACGTGGTCCTTCACTGCTGGCCGTATGAGGAAGCTCAAGGTCGCTCAGCGAGCTATGGAGAGGGCTATGCTCGGAGTTTCTCTGCGTGATAAACTTAGGAATGAGGATATCCGCAGTAGAACCAGAGTGACCGACATAGCCCAACGGATTAGTAAGCTGAAGTGGCAGTGGGCCGGCCATATAGCTCGAAGAACCGACAACCGATGGGGAAGAAAGGTTCTCGGGTGGCAGCCTCGTACCGGTAGGCGAAGTGTAGGGCGTCCCCCCACGAGATGGAGTGACGACCTGGTAAGACATGCAGGAAGTCGATGGATGCAGGTGGCTCAGGACCGTGCTTTGTGGCATTCTTTGGGGGACTTCTTTCTTTGGGGATTCTTTGGGTCACTGCTGAACATAGGAGTCCCTATGTTCAGCAGTGGACTTGTGAAGGGCTGTAATGATGATGATGATGATGATGAGAAGGTCTAATAGCTGATCAATTTATTCAAATAGGTAATCTACTTGTATCGATCATTACAATACAAAAACATTTTTTGCTCAAAAGTTTTTCAGTTTTAGAGGTAGTTGATTATATAACAAAACAAACAAATTACACCGTATCATTAACCTAACAAAATTTGAATGTAAAAAGAAAATTCAGATTGGCTGCTTAAACTTGATTATGAAAATACAGAACAATTACTGCAAATCGCATATTAACATACCACGTACGAGTTAACACACACACACACACGCACACACACACAATAAGATTAAACCGCTTACGCGTATGCTCTCTCGAAAACGAAAAAATAATATCTCTGCTATATATAATACAAAGAAAAAAAAATCTAGTTGATCATCATAAATGGGGAACCGGGAGATCCATAGCACAGGGTATCCTAGTTTGGACTCCCGGCTCCCACAAATTTATGCACTCTTTGTTTTGTTAATAAAAAAAATATATATGTTTTTGAAAAATAAAATATGCAATGTATAATTTGTGGGAGAAAATAATAAAGGTTTTTTTTTTATTACACATTATTAAAAATGGCAACTAAAACTTAGTGATTATATTATTTTTCGTCGTTGGCAACACTGATACATTTCCGGTAAGACGAAGACGTCAAAGCTAAATTTATCTAATTAATTTTATTTGCCGTATAAACTCAAGCCAAAATCCTTTCTTTAGATAACGATTTAGTATACAAGTATTATTAACAAGAATTCACAAAAGCATTAAATATGCCACGTGGTGAGTCAAGACTTGTCTGCGAGTTATTTTAATTTTTTTTTGGAAATCTCAATGTCATCTCATGTTATTGAGAATGTGCAAAAATTATTAACCTGAATTTATTTCAATTGTTTTTGTTATATGTTTTAGGTAAATACACAAATCATAAGGGACGCAACCGTAAATTTACTAGTCCTGAAGAATTAGAAGAGCAGAGAAAGCAGGAGGAGCTGAAGCAAAAGTAAGTTTATTTTACATATATTCGAAGTAATACAAAGAATTTATTTTGAAACAAAACACTTAATGAATTGCTGCACTATACATTTTCAATAAAACGTTTAAGCTATTTGATTGATACATTCAGACACCATTGGACAGGTTTTGGTTATAACAAACCTATAAACAAGTTCTAATAGGTATCGCTAGTTAATTGACCTTAAATATTTTGTAATCTTGTCAACAAAACCAAAACATTTAATCCATGTTTTTGTATTTAATAATTGATTCTTTACTGATTAGGCAAAATAATTATCAAAATACAGACAAAGAAAGAAACAAACGAATTTAAAGCTTTTTAATGTATTGGTCTCTTAATTTTCTTGAGACAAAGAATAAGTACAAAACATATATTCCTCTTTTCACCATGGATAGTGACTAGAGGATTTACTTTTTTATAATGTAATCTATATCTACCATTACCATGTTCCTGTTATGTTTTTTCCATAAATCAATTATTTTAAATACTAGAAACAATCTTATTGGAAATTACTATACCTCTCACCAAATCCCACAAGCAAATTAAAGAAATATCTCATATGTATATCTGCCATTTATTCAAATCTCTGGATTCTATTAAACTCCACTACTAAAAGGGGTCATTTGTGTGCTATTAAAGACTTAAATTGGAGATTAGCAACAAATATTTAGCTGTTATTCAATATTCGGCCTATTTGGGGCTACTTTTATCCAATTTGGTCAAATACTGAATATCTAGGTTCTATTCGGCTGAATATGGAATGCTTAATGACTTACCTTACTTGGTAGGGGAAAACCATGATATAGTTTTATTTGCTGATGATACTTTGTCGATTTTCCGACTTAAAAGGCGATTATTTAAATATGACAAAGTGAATAATACTATATCAAAAGTAGTACACTGGTTTAACGTCAATAATTTGCTTTCAAACAGTAATAAAACGAAATGTATTAAATTAACCAACTACACATAATGTTAGTGTAAATACCCGTGTGCTTTTAAATGCAGAGGAGCTGAGCCTTGTTGAATCCACTGTTTTTCTCAGAATTACAGTTGACGCGTAGCTTCAATGGGGCCCTCATATATCTAAACTGGCTATTAAACTTAGTTCTTCAGCATATGCTGTAAAAAATTTGATTCCTTACATGTGTTGAAACAGCTAGATTAGTTTATTTTAGTTATTTCCATAGCATAATGTCATATGAAATCTTGCTATGGGGTAATGCGACTGACATTGAAACTATCTTTGTTTTGCAGTAGAGGGCCATGAAAGCAATTTATAAATTTGGTCCGAAGGAATCCTTTATCAAAAAATTTAAAGAAATAAATATACTATGGTCTCTCAATATATTTATAAGAATTTAATGTATGTACACAAAAACAAAAATAGTTTTATTAAAAATAGTGATGTACATGCTGTAAATACTAGGAACAAGCATAAGTTAGTTATACCAGTTACTCAACTATAAAGAGTCAGTAATTCCTTTATGGGGCAATGTATATGCTTTTACAACAAAGTCCCAGAAAATATGCAGATCTTATCTACCAAAAGGTTTAAAATATTTATTAAGCAAAAATTGTTTAGTAAGGGTTATTATAATACTAAAGAGTACAAAATTGATAATAACCTCTGGGAATGAGGTAATCTCTACATTGCTGTTTCTAAATATTTTCATAACAATTGTATAAATATTATATTGTTAATTATGTTTTTTTTTAAAAGTCCCGTTGGGATTCTTGCTGGTTCTTCCCAGGACAGAGATATTTTCCGAACAATTGGTGAAAGTAAAAAAAATGACTCTATAAGAATTACATGTAATCTATATTTTCAGGCAGCAGATCCTTTTTTTTCTTGTAGACAATCCCAGCTTCTGAAAATAGACACACTGAAGAATAAACACCACTTCTCAGCAGAATACTTTTGTCTAATATTCGGCTATTTGGCCACGAAATTTGTAGAATAATGATATTACTATTTGTTGCAAGTCTAATCAATATCCATTTTAAATTTTTATGTGATTGTTGTTCTAATCTTCAGAATGGCTAAATCGATATTGGTGAAACTTAACGAACAGATAGAGATAGTTTTCATCTCAGTTCATATAGATAGTTTTATTGTTGTTATAAATTTGATATTATTTTATTATTAAAAGATACATGCCAGATCAAGTAGTAAAACAAACTCTTAAATCAAATCTACCTTACACAGATATTACAATTGTACCCTCAACATTGTCAATACATAACAGTTATTGTTGTAAGTCTCATTTAAAACTTTTCAGGTGGAGAAAAGAACATGGTCCGAGCAGTAGTGAAGAGTCAGAAGATGATAAATCTGGCTCTGGAGACAGTGATGACAGTGATTCAGAGGATGATGTAAATATATTGTTACAATTTGTTTCTTATCTCCCTACCTATTATATTATGAAATATTGAGTTAATAATTTTTTATAATTACCTGAACACTTTTTTCATTTTGTATCATTGTATCAGATTTTTAATTTAGCATAATATTTTAAATTACTGTTGTTTCAAGGGCTTTGCAGTACTTTTGGTATCATGGTAAAGTAAATTACTCCTCCTTCCTCAGTACAGACTTCGTTTTATTTCTGAGAGGGGTTTAGTGCAAGAAAATGTCTTCAGCTGTGGCCCAATGCATATTGGCGGATATCATGTCTTTTTTTTATTTATTTTTTTGTTTTTTTAGCCTTGCATGTTTCCTCACGATGTTTTTCTGCACCGCCGAGCATGTGGTATATCAGGAATTGAAAATTGTAATCAATAATTTCATTGGTACCAGTGGGGATTCATCCCAGGTTGCTCACATACTGTGGAATTTACTGCATTTTCTTAGCCCCAGAGCTAACACAGCTCTCAATGATATTCTTACACCATCACCACATTCATACTTTTATTTTCACTTCAGCTTTTAATACTTATAATATCAGGATCCCAATAAAATATGTAAAATTAGTTTTATTCAAATATTTCATTAACGTTTCTTTGTTGTTGTTATATTTCAAATACCTTAATTTTGAATGCTACAGAATATATCGGTGTGTAGCATTTGGAGCAACAAACAATTAGCCTGGTGATGCCTTAATATCAGACAGCAATAACCTTATAGCAGGGGAGGCGAACCTTTATGTATCAACTTGCCATCTTCTAAAGAAATTTTTAATGATGTGTGAGACGTGCCGTAAAATAATTTTGACATCGTGATTACCGCCGCACCGCGCACCGCGCCCGAACACTCGTTCGAAATATAATACTTCATAGTCATAGTGAATAATCAAATAATCATAGTTAACTTTGTGCCATTGTTTTGCCATCCCTGCCTTACAGTGTATAACTTTTATTGTGTTAGCCTTACAGTGTGTAACTTTTAACATTAATTGAACATTAATTCAAATCAAGGATATATTCTTATAATCTCTAATCTACATTAATTCATTCATTACAGTTTATCAAATTCCACTTGCTTAACATAAGCCTCCCTGATATATTCTCTCATAGGGGGATCTTTTCCATAGTTGCCAGACTTTACAGGCAGGTTGGTTGCATCCACAGATTGAGCTGTTATCAAGAAAATGCTGCTGCCTATCTCCCATTTCAATTCCCTCTGTCCCCTCTTAAGACACCCCTGGGATGATACGAGGGAGTGGATTTTTATGCTGCCACTATGTAGTATACAAAAAGTTTAGTGTAAATAAAACTATGTAAGTAAGCCATGTGGCTTACTTACATAGTTTTATTTAATTATTTGATTATTAATTGGTGTGGTGAATGACAAATTAGAGTCCCCTTTCCTGTCTTGTACCATATCTGTTAGTAATAATACTTATGTCCTACAGACCATATTTCAGTCACAGCGGCCTATCTCAATGGAGACTTGCTACCTACACAGGACAATATTATAGTGCACAAGTGTGGGCACAGGCACAGATGCATTCTCTATACCCTTAATCTCATAGTCCAATGCACCGACAGTTCAACAAGACCTGAGTGAGATCATGCGCAGCACCAATAGCTTTACATGTTAGCTGAGGCACGGCCTATGTGAAACAATCAACTTCCTAACTCGGGGCTTATACTCTAGTTTCTTGAAAATCCCAATACTCAATTTTTGGTCCAATCTGTGATTCAATTCTGGGACCACATGATCAGCAGTCGCGCTAACAGTCACTAGAGCAAAGTCAAACTGTTTGTAAAACTGGATTATGGGAAATGTTTAGCTGTTCTTGCGATTATTACAAAGTTAGGTTGAAGAAGTTTCAAAGTCATGAATCATTGACCATAGCAATACCAGACTGTCATGGTCCATCTGTCCTCCAAGTTTGTCGATTGTGACAACTCCACTCAATTGTTTTAGAGAAGCCCATATAAATGTGACGTAAGTCTTGTAGTGTCACAGTCACTTTGATCTTAAGTGATAGAGTCAGCATGATACATAACAGCATCTTAAAATTGAGCAGTGTTTGAGTATTTGGGCATTAATCACTGCAATACATTTAATTTCCATCCATCCATCCATTACAGCCTATAAAAGTTTACTTCTGAACATAGACCTCCCTCATAGATTGTCTCATAGGGGGGATTTAGTAGTAGTATATAGGTATTGCTACATAAGGCCCTATGACATACTCAAGGTCTTTCAAGCAGCTATGGAGATGGATTTGTCTGGAGTTTCTGTGCATGATAGACTGTAATGAAAACATTTGTAATATACATAGCCTAATCAAGTATTATACAGTTTTATTATTTAACCTTGATGACAGTAGTCTTGGAATTGAATTTCAGTATAAGCCTATATTTTGCCCATAAAAATATAAAAAACTAGTAAAAAAGTGATAAAGTCAAAAATGACTAATCTATATTGAATGAACATATATTTAAAAAATTGTATAATAATAATAATTTGTCATTTTATTTTTTCAGCAACCAGCAAAGGCAAAGGGTGTTTCTGGCCTCATTGAGGTTGAGAATCCAAACAGGGTAGTAAAAAAGAATAAAAAGCTATCTAACTTGGATAATATTGGTGAGGGTGAAAAGCCTCAATTGTCAAGGTATTTATTTCAATTTATACAAAATACATACAAATTAAACTTTTAGTTTAACACTCATTATTGAGCAGTTTAGACTTAGTTAGCCACACTATGTATCATTTAGAAGATAAACTGAGCGTGATACACATTTTTATACATGGTAGAGCAATGCTGCAGCTATATTAGTAGTATAGTTGTAGCACGAATGGGTCGGCTCGACCGGGGAAGGACCACGCTCTCACAGAATACCAGCGTAAAGTAGCAGCTTAACACTGCTGTGTTTCGTATGGTGAGTGTAGAGAACCGGAGACCCTTTTTACTGGAAAAGAGGCATTCCATCTTAGTCCTCACGGTTGACAACGCTTCTGCATTTTGAGTCTTTATTGAGGATAGATGTCTATGGGCCACAGCAACACTTACCACCAGGTGCACTGTGTGCTCGTTTGTCTACCTATCCTATAAAAAAAAAACATGCACGCATTTTATTTCAAGCATTAGTAACATCACATTCAATTATTTGTACTTATGTGGTAGAGCCATGCTACAGCTATGTTTTTTGTAGTACAAATGGATCAGCTCTACTGGGGAAGGCCCACACTTTCAAAGAATATTAGTGTAGTGTGTAAGTGTAGAGAATTGTTGACCCTTTTTACTGGAGATGAGGCATTCCATCTTAGCCCTCAGGAGTGATATTACATCTGCATTTTTATTCATTATTGAGGATAGATGCAGTTCTCTATAGTCCACAGCATCCACTTAACAGGTGTATATTACACTTGTTGGTACTTATTGGAAATGAGTGAGCACTCCACATATACTGATGACATTTTTACTATTTTGAAAATAATATTGTGTGTTGTTTAAGAGAAATGGAAGCTATACTCGAGATAATTTATTTCGTATAATTGAAAAGAAAAAAATTATCTCTAAACAAGTGACAGAATGAGATGGCAGGTCTGTTTTGCAACCAAAATTCTAGAAGTTGTCGTATAAAATACGCATCTTACCTACCAATTCCAATTATTATTTTTGTGATTTTGATCTTTCCTTCATATATTTACTGGTTCCATCATCCATTGGATGGACAGCCGTTCCCCCATATATTGCCTAATATAGGGGCAATTTTGCCGTAGTTGCCATACTTGTCAAGCCGGTTTGCAACCACAGTTTCTTATTTTTATTTAGCTGTTATAAGGAAACTGTGTTCAGATCCCATCTGTCGCTTTTGCTACACCCACTGGACAATATGGGGTAGTGGATATTCTTACACCGCCATTAATTGGTAAATGCTAAATAGGTACACATTTTTAAATGCTAAATAGGTACACATTTTCAACCGACTGCTAAGCAAGAACGAGATTCTCGACCTCAGAACTTTTCTAGGTGAGATGATTTTGATGATTCTTTTTTTATTTTAAAGCTGGTGCTTCTCATGTTGTGGTCCCATATAAATTTGATCAAGATCTAACCAGTAGTTTTCGAGTTATCCTTAATAATGCGTATTTAGTTCACTTCGACTACATTGGTGATGTTCTCATTTTTAAGTGGCGAAGCTAGCGAAGTCACTTATTGATTTCACGATGTCTGTCCGTCTGTCCCACGATTATCTCGAGAACGGTTTCGAATTTTCAAATTCTGTTTTCAGCAATCGATTACTGATCACCCAGGCATCTGAACCTCCTATTTTGAAACTGATTGCTCAACGGCAACCTGATTGCTTCGCCACTTTGCTATGCTGTTAGCTTGCTAGGTTTATATTTATATAGAAGTCAGTTATACAACATTTTTAATTTTACCACTTTTAGTAATGAGACATGATGATTTATCAGTTTCAATTGAAGTGAGATCAAGCCAAATTCGAATGTCGTAGGTATACACAAATATACTGTACATACTATACCTGCTAAATAACAAGGATAATGAATATATCTTAACTTTAATTCTCTTTCTCTCTTTCTTTCTCTACTACTTCGCAACATTTTGCAGATTCATTCATTTATCTTAAAAATGTTTTAATGTAGGGCGTCCCCCCACTAGATGGAGTGACGACCTGGTAAGATATGCAGGAAGTCGATGGATGCAGGTGGCTCAGGACCGTGCTTTGTGGCGCACATAAGTCATTGTATGAAATTATTAGGACTTTACATAGAAAGTACATTTTAGCGATATCGCGATAAAAATGTTCACTGTTTCTTTCTAAATAGAAACTACAATGCATTTGTAAAAAATTGTTGCATGTCTATCACTTTGTCTCAAGATTAAATGCGGATATTAAGCGCTGTTCTAAATGATTACCACTGTTTCTTCTATACACTAATCTTTATAGCATGGCTAGGAAGCCCAAACTGGCCAAGATCATGCAACTGCTGATACGTCTGTAATATTATCAGTGTTGTGTGTATGAAAAGTATGGATTTCGATTCTGCGCATCAACTGTAGGTGTTTTAACTCTGCGTACGTTCAACTCCTACCTACCGTACATCAAAGAGGCCGACGGCGGGTGCAGCTAGTACCTCCTTCGCGTCTTTGAGGAATATAATCACTCCATGAATCCATTGATAACTGTCACACGTAAAGTATAATTCTAGCCCATAAAAGTCAACTGCTGAACATAGGCCTCTCCTCGTTTACGTCGTAGGGTAGATTTTGCCACGCTTGGCAGGTGGACTGCAGTTTTTATTATATTTGTTAGAGCTTGAGTGATTATTAGGAAGACGCTGCTGCCTGTCTCCTGTTTTCATTTTTTTTTACAGGAAAGTGGGCAAACGAGCGTGCGGCTCACCTGATGGTAAGTGACTACCGCCGCCCATAAACAACTGCAACACCAGGGTATTTGCAGATGCGTTGCCGGTCTTTTAATTCATTTCCCTCTGTCGCGTCTTACGACACCCACGGGACGATATGGGGTAGTGGATATTCTCACACATCCACTAGACGGTTTCCACCACTACACGCGTAAAGTATATTAGTTTGAATTTTGAAATAATACGTATAACTTTTTTTAAAAATACTGTTTTTATTGTTATTCTTTCAGACATTTTTTCTTGATGGTAAAAAGACAGCCGGTATAAAGTATATAAAAACGTCTCTTTATGTTTTTATTATAATAAAATACATATCTGATCTTTTTTAATGGTTCTAAGTATGTACCGTTACCGTTACAGCATATTAAAATCCACTGCTGAACATAGGCCTGCCCTATAGATTTCCTCATAGGGTAGATATTTACCATATAACCATCGTTATTAGGAAGACGCTGCTGCCCACCTGATTTGTTTCCCTCTGTCGCCTCTTACGACACGGATGATATGGCGTAGTGGATATTCTCACAGCTCCACTACATGGTAAGTGTGTATGTACAGTCCGAGTATGTATTATGAAACTTTATTTAAAAAAAATTAAAATATGTCCTTTTTTGTGACAACAGAATTGTTTTGTCACTCTTGATATTTCATCATTGCATTGATTTAGCAAGCTCGGCAAACCTTGGTCTTGTTCCTAAATTAGTATGCCCACCCAGTATCACTAAACTGGTGCCCACCAAAAGGGCACCACTGTTTAGCAGTGAACAAAACAAGCATGTATGATAAATTTAAAAAAATATACTAAATACACGTACAAAGTAGGATGTATGGAGTATTACTTTACATTTTAACTTTTATTAAAACCAGGACTTATTTTCATAACAAACAGGCGTGAACGCGAAGAAATAGAGCGTCAAAGGGCCGCCGCAGCGTATCAAAAGGCCCATGCAGAAGGAAAAACAGATCAAGCCCGCGCAGATTTAGCTCGACTGGCCATAATCCGACAGCAGCGGGAAGAGGCCGCAAAGAGACGCGAGGCTGAAAAGAAAGCTAAGGACGAATCTACGAAGAAGAAATAAAACTATGTTTAGTTTTCTTTGGTAGAGTATTGTTGTTAGAATATTATATGAATATGTCTTCATAAAAGGTTGATTGAAATAGTATCTTAAGCTTTAAATTTTTTGGCACTTATTTTCGTTTACATCTTCAACTTAGTGTTGCTTTGGTAGCCTCAGACCTACGAAGAAAGAAAGACAGTGTGGACATTTTAAGTGACGCAAAAACCAAACCAACTTTTAACTTAACGCTTAACATTTTGTAAGGACACGCATTTGCAACCAAATACATAGTTTTAGGTGCATATGTGTGTGTCCAGCAGTGAACTATTACGGGGCTGGTAAAGAAAGAAAAAAGAAAGATGTGTGCTTGAGTGCGCGTTTAGAAGTTAAACATGGTTTCAGAGTCACTTGAGGTGTATGTTTCCCTCCGTCTACCTTTTTTTGTTGGTCTAAAATAGTTAGCATAAAAAATAAACCTCTTAGATGCGTGCGTGAGGCTTGAGTGTTTTTAAAAATTAACTCAATTAAAAGTTTTCCTAATTAAATTTAACTGTATTTTTGTTCACAGGTAGACAAATACTGATGATAAGACCATCCGGAATACTGATTTTCAATGTTAAGTGCTCATCTTTAACTTAGCCTTGACATCTTGGCTTTCAAAATCCAAAATTCAATATGAACTCCTCCAAGCTTTTTCGTAATTTTGAGACTGTTAATATAGTTGTCAATCTGTGAGTTAATTTTTCACTTAAAATATATTTGGAATTGACAGTCGTACAAACAAATGAAACTGCACATTTATTTTAAGAAGATAAAAGAAAAGGGTTTTAAAATATTAAAGAATCTGCATAATTTTATATATCTATGTTCACTTCTTCATTGTCCATATAAAAATAATATATTCACTAGAATTATAAAAGTTTTAGTAATCCAATTTTTTGTAATTAAGTTTAACAGCTGTATCAATGCCATTCTTGTATTATTTTTCGATTGTTTTCATTTCTTCTTCCATTCCAAATATCGTGATTATTAATCTTTCTGTATTATCTAGAATTATAAATAGTAATGAAGAAATTTGTAACTAAAATTGCACATTTTTTTAAACTTATTCAGCAAGGGATGAGATTTTTAAGTATGTCAAATTTATTGAGAACATTACTCGATAGATAAAAACATTTGTTTTTGGATTGAAATATTGATCGAAGAAATATTGAAATAAAATATAAGAGTCTGTCATTGATCTCAGGCAAATCGCGAAATTTATTTTATCTAAATCGTTCTTGACTTTTTGTACTGACTGTGAATGTTTCCATGTGACAATGTGTGAAGTAAATTTTATAGAATTGTGATTTGCTTTTATTTAGCAAGGCACAACTCAATTTTCGTTCATATTTTAACTACTGTCATTAATCATACGATAATCGTATGATTAAAAAATAATTATTCATACGACAATCGCATAAACAAAAAATACTTACGTATTCGTCCGATAATTTTGGAAATTAAAAAGTTTAATTCTTTCAATATTATATTTTAATTTATTTATGTTTAACTATTTATATCATTGTAATGTACACGGCTTTATAGTGGCCCAAAGGTCACCCCATTCGCACTTTAACCTACTGTTACTGATATTGCAAGATTGGTGTAATGTTTTATTAGACGCAAATAGCCTAATTATACGAGTATTAAAGTATATTATGTTTAAATATATTAATTTAGTTGTCTAAAATTATTAAAAATATTTTTATTATATTTTATTTCTTAAATTTAAAATATATCGGACGAGTAATCGTATAAATTAGAAATAATTAATCGTTCTATTATCGTATGAATAGACACTTCCATTTTTAACTATGTGGCAATAGATGTTGTGTTCAAAAATTGATGTTTGAAGTTTATCGTATCTAAGACATACGTTTTAAACGTAATCTCTATTATATTCCTTTGCAAAAAAATAAATAAAGAATATGTAAGGATGTATGTTTCAATTGCATATATTATAAATAATTTTCATTTCAACCAGAAATCTATATGAATTTGCTTAGGTCTAATTGTTAGATAGCCTCACTAGACAATTTTTATATGCAAAGAATGTGCATCTGTATAATAAACTATTAAAACAAAACTTTTTTATTTTTTACAAATTTATTTCTAAGGTGCTGGAGTCGAATTTTGATTTCTCATGTTCTATTCTAAGGCGAGCGCCCAGTTTTCTATGAAAGTAGCACGATTTTACTGAGTGCACTGTGCACTCTGCCTGCAAAATTTGCCTTTGGGTTGTGTTGCTAGTAATATCAAATTGCCGTTTAAGGCATTTTAGCGTCGTCACATGGGTTTTCAAGGAGGGGATTACTAGTAAGGCCAGAAAAAATTTCATGGTTTCTGATGGGTGACGATATAGCACTATTCAGTGTAAGCAGCCTGCCAACCCCTGTCGGTTATAGCAAATTCTCCCTTAAATATAAGAACTGCAGTTTTTTGAATTGTGATGGGAAGTCGAAGATTATTTTACTTGGTGAATGGATCATCTTGACCGGGGAAGGACCAGCCTCGCACAGAATACCAATTTGAAATAGGTGGACTGTGTGCGTGTTTTTCACTGTTACTTGTGGTTACTTGTATAAAAACGGATTTGTGGGATGATAGATAATATTATCGCAGTTTTCTGTTTCTGTTAGAATAGTGATACCCGTGGCAATAAGTCAAGGCCTTTAACTCTACCCTGCGACGCAATCAGATGGGTACAATACACCCTTTCGTGTTCCCTTACCTGTAAGGTGTTATCGGGGATTACTTGCACGACAGGCACACCTGTATATGGGGCAAGATGATAGGAAGATCAAATGTGAAGATCCACAAGGCTCGGTGCTAAGGCCGCTACCTTGGAACCTCTTACGTGGTAAAACCATGCTGCAGCTATAGTTGTAGTACGAGTGGGTCGGCTCGACCTGGGAAGGACGCTGGTAGAATACCAGCGTAAAATAGCAGCTAAATGCTGTTGTGTTTCGTATGGTGAGTGTAAAGAACTGGAGACCCTTTTTAATGGAAATGAGGCATTCCATCTTAGTCCTCACGGGTAACAACGCATCTGCATTTTGATTTGTAATTGAGGATAGATGTAGATTTCTATGGGCCGCAGCAACCACTTACCGTCAGATGGACTGTGTGCTCGTTTGTTACCTTATCATATCAAAAAAACTTCACCTATGATGCGGTTCTACGAGGTCAACCTTCCCGCTGGTATAGATATTATTTGCTATGCCAACTATACGTTGGTGGCCAGCGGGATCACCAGGGAGATGAAACTGCCACACAAATTTGCAAGAAAAAAAATACATTCAAAGTTCTGCCCCCTAGTGAACTAGGTACATAAGCTTGTAGGCTAGTTTTCTTCAGCGTTGTAGAGATGGCGTTAATTAGGCCAAAACCCCAGAATTCAAGCCTCAAAAAAACGAAATCTATGGCAGTTTTGATCTATGGTTATGGTTGACACATAAATAATACACTTGGTTGTATAAATACGCCTGACGCCTACTCGGAAAAATTACGACTCGAGCAGTGTTGCCAACCGTACGATTTAAATCGTATTCATACGTTTCCGTATATACACTCTTATCCAGCGTTGCCAACCGTACGATTTAAATCGTATTCATACGATCTTTTTAGCCCTAGTACGATGTACGATCCTGTACTCGAAATCGTACGCAAAATATACGATCTTTTCAAATATTATAATCTTTATAACAAAATAAAAATGATAATTGATTAAGTTCATTTTATCGATATGAAAAATCAATAACATTAAAATTGAACGAGCTCTAAACTTCTTTGTATTTTTTTATGAACGCATCCAATCCAATAATTTTTTAAACTCTCTATCCCACTCGCACTTTAGAAATATGCAGCGTACTATTCCGTCAACTCGCCGCCGATTAAGGAATTCCCCGCCCAGTTTAACCAAATTTCTTCGAGTTTGTTTTACGTCATTTTATTCGTTATAATCCAAATAATATTACACTACGCTGATGGACATTAGATTAACTACGTTTATCTTTTAATATATGTTTTTTTTGTTTGCGTTCCTTGGTTCAGTCTTATTGTGTATACGTATTGGTGTTTTTTGTTTCGTGTGGCTTTCATAAAAAAGTGATTGTTATACTTTTGTATTTATCCTGCAGAAATTAGGTACGTACTTTTACTTTTCGTCAGTTTGATATATTGTTTTTTCTTCATAATCATGGCAGAAACATCTAGAAATAAGCATAGCACACCAAAAAAAAAACTAGAACGACGACAAGAATTACCAAAGTTAGAGCGGCAGAAACATAGGGCTCAAAAGTATCGGCCGGAGTGGGAAGAATTAGATGTATTTAAAAAGTGGCTCAAGCCAGGCCCTAACGAATTTAAAGCCAAATGCTTTATCTGCGACTCTATTTTAACTGCAGAGATTGGAGTTTTAAAAATGCATGCCAATAGACAAAAACACCTTGACGCAATGAAAATGTTGCCATCAACAAGTAAGCAAGTTTCCACAATGGCATCATTTGTAAAGGAAAAAATCCCAACAAACGTTCAAAATGCCGAAGTAAAACTTACCGGTTTTTTAGTTGAGCATAATTTAGCGTTCAAAACGGCAGATCACTTGACGGAATTGCTAAAAAGCATATTCCCGGATTCAAAGATAGCTCAACAAATTTCTCTTAAAAGGACCAAAGCAACTGCCATTGCCACAGCAGTCATAGGAGAGACCGAAAAAGAAGTCATGGTGTCAAAATTAAAACAAAATAAGTTCAGTGTAATTTGTGACGAATCCACTGATATAAGTACCCAAAAGGCTTCTTGTATTGTCGTGAGATTTCGTGATGAGAAATCAAAACAAATAGTTAGTAAATTTTGGGAATTGACGAAAATATTTGATTTGTCAAGTCCGGACTTAAATAACGAAGGAGCCACGGGGAAAAATTTATTTAATGCCTTAATAAAATCTTTTGAACAGGAAAATGTTCCTCTCACTAATT